AGCTTTTACTGACAGCACAAAAATTTTAATGCAAACAGACATGAGCCATAAAAACACACAAACAAATATAGATAAGCGGAATTTAGCGGTCGATGAAAAATCGAGACGAAATCCGACTAACTGGGAAACTCACAGGGGTCATCAAGTCGAGGAGCATTCTTGTCAACGCAAATACCGACATGGTTAAGTAAGGAACTATCCTTAGTTAGTTGACGAGCACTCCACACACGACTATTTAACTCTTCTAGCATGACAGTAAACTGTGAAGAGTCGGGACGCTTACGCTGCTTTATCTTACTGGTAATCCACTCATTCGTGTAGGGATATTGGCCAGGAGCAGGTCGAATGAAGAAATACTTCTTCTTCCATTCGGTAATATTGGAAGAAAGATCGTCAAGGAAGGTAACGCCTACTCGACGGCCCAGACAATGGGCGTCCTTGCTAAATCTATATCCGTAGCAATAAAGGAAAAATTCGGGTAAAAAATCACCTAGAACTATGCGGGTAACAACTATAAAGGCTACCATTATTCGAATAGAATTAGGGGTGAACTGGTTTAATTGTACATCGAAAAGGTTACTTAGCGATTGCAGTTCAGGTTGAATCGGGAAGCGCAGGCCGGACATTATTTGGTCCACGAAAAAAGTAAAACAGCCCTTGGGAGGGTGACGAAAGTCGTCTTCGGGCTTAGGAGCAACTACAGCCCAGTCCGCGGGAAGGCCGCTGAACTCTCTGAAGCCATCGATTTCGGCTGCAGGAGCATAGAGAAACGATAGTAAGAACTTACCACGGAACATGCTATAGTTGCAGACTCGATTAAGGAAAGTCATTATAAAGGAACAAGGCGGGCCACATACAGAAGGGTGTTCGAAAAAAATCTAGCGGAAAATACCTCGAGGAGCCAAGTCGGGGTAGGAAGTTTCAAGGGTTCTGAGAACTTCGGGATCCTCACAAAGGGTGCCCGAAAGTAGCGCCTGGTTATACACAGCCCAGTCGATGCCAAAAGGTGAGGCAGGTGAATGGAGAAAATCCTCCGGCTCGGCATTTAGATGAGAACATGGCCCGACATCGTTCAGATGAACAGAGTCCGAGTCCGAATAGTTATCGATTTCACGGGCAAGAGAACCGGAGACGGGGTCAGAAACAGGGTCGAGGTTGGAATCTAAGAAGATAAAGAATAGCAATCAAGAAAAGTTGTTAGAAATCGCGATTCGATTCAAAGAAAAGGGTCAACAAAATAACCAGGATGACATGAAAAGTGTCCCGACAACGGGAAGAAGCGAGAAGAAACGGGAAAAATCTTCCCCATGACGATTCGACTCGACAAGGGAAGATCGAGACGAGAAAGGAAAAAAAGCCGATCTCTCACAACAAAACGACTAACAGAGAAAAACACTTGGAGGAAA